CCTTGGTAAAAAACCATAATACGCCCTGAGGAATTCCTACCAGCAGACTTCCCTGTCTCAAAGTGAATTGTCTAAGTGCTCTCCTCTCTTGGCTTTGTCTCATTGTCGAGATCGTAATCATTCGATTGCTGAACAACTTTAAGGAGATTAGCTAAAACTTTAGTAATGATTTTATAAGATATATCACATAAATTGATTGATGGTGTTGGAGGGAAAAATACAACATGACACGTTGACCAATCAACTCATCTCGAGATCATTGGATTCATCCAACTAAGCTACTGGAGAAAACCGACCTACACTCGAGACCAAGCTGAAGACCAAAATTCAACCAGAGAATCACCCAAGTTCTCTTCAACTGACTTGAGGACTCCAACCTTATTTCTGACAGCTAAACTGGGGGCTCGACAGCCACAACAGTCGATTAGAGCGGTTCCAATGGTCTTGTTTCCCCCACTGCCTATAAAGGGACACTCTGTCACCTTGCTCAGGTACATAATTCTACTYCGAGAACGACTTACAATAGCTCGTGCCATACTGACTTGAGCGTCAGAGTGTTTGTTTCTTTTGCAAGTCCCTCTTATTTAAGGTTGCATATCGCTAGCTCGTTCCTATTGCCACATGGCCGACCTTCGGTAGCTTAACAGAATCATGCATCAACTTTTGGTGCCTTTTGTGGGAACTCAACGTAAATAAAGCTCTTGTGCTTTACAAATGGCGAATAGTTCCCAAGGTTCAAGTAACGATCACCCTGGAGATTCGAGTCCACCAAACAATGGCAGAACCAACAAAGGGGTTACCAAACATCGTAAGCCTACAAAGCAAAAGACATTAGTTGATGCTCGAAGGACTAAATCTACACATGTAGAGGAGGTCTCATCAACCGAGTTGCAACTCTACTAGCTYAAATGCAGGCGATGATGGACGCCATGACACAAGCTCTACTGAATGTCGGGGTGCCTCTCCTCAAGTTGCCARAACCTAAGATCTCGAGTGATTCCAGAAAGGGCAAGTAAAAGGTGGATGACCATCCCAAAAAGAAATCGACCAATCAACCTATTGAGAAGTTGGTACTCGATAGCAATGACCACCCTCGACCTCAGAAGGATCTCTGATTGGTGCTATCTGTGCGACCTTCCCAACTAGAAGAGGAAGACGATCTACAAGATACAATCATCCAAACTGAGCTTAGAGACGAGAAGAGCTCAACAGGTCGCAACTGTCGCAACATCATCTTAATGTGGAGTGTCCGACGTCATCCTTTAAAGGGTCTATTTCGAGATAAGAAGGTTGAAGTCGCTACCAACCATCTATGAGATGTGATTGGTCACCACATTTAAAATAAACATGACAAAAATAAACAAAACTATCCCACCTTACTCACCAATATAGGGAATGTTCTGGGTCTATCACCGGACTCGTAGGGAGACTTTATCGGGGGTCTGACTATCGTAGGACGCCGTAGGTCGGAATGTTGAGATTTAAAAAAATAATAAATAATAAAGAAAGAAATTTTCTTTCTTTATGGAAAATCTTTTAACTTTCTATCCTCATATTTTTTTGTTCTTTCATTTACTTTGTCCTCTCCCAAATGCTCAATTGATCCATATTTATAGGGTAAGAAAGGTGGGTTGCTGAACTAAAGTAAGAGATTAAAAGGGAAAAAGTCAGATATTGAAAGGGAAAAAAACCAACTTAACAAAAACTTTGACTAATGACTTAATCCAATTTTTTTTAAAATTTTWTTTAATTTAATCTTTTACAACATTTTGTTAAAAACAAACCCCATATGTTTAATTTGTTTTTATTATTTTTTTCTTTTTATAATAAAATTTAATAATAACAATAATAATAGAAAAAAATAAGTCGGACCAACTACAGTGTCACAACATGCCCCTTTTATGTATTCTTGCAAAATTAAAAGGGTATATAAAGGAGAAAGACAAAATATTGGGAAGGCAAAAATTTTGCTCAAAGAAGGCAAAAGGCAAAATAGTAGCATACCCAACTTGACACCCCAGGCTTGACTTCAACAAACCTGCGCTTAACACAGGCTTCGACCTCGATTTTGGATCGGGTTCGATTTAACCAAGAAGATRATAACATACAAAGGACYTGCGCTATACACATGYTTTGATCTTGATTTTTGATCGGGTTCGATTTAACAAAAAAATATGATAAAATTTAAAGGACTTAGGCTATACACAGGTTTCAACCTCGATCTAGGATTGGGTTCCATTCAACCAAAAAGATCGACAAAATGGAAGGGGCTTGTGCTATGCACAAGCTTCGATTTCGATCTTGGATCATGTTCGATTTGACCAAAGAGATGATAAAATGTAAGGACCTATGCTATACACAAGCTTCGACTTCAATCTTGGATCAGRTTTGATTTAACCAAAAAGATGAAAATGCACTAAACCTATGATAGACACAAGATTCGAACTTGATCTTGGATCAGGTTTGAATTAACCAAGAAGATAAATAAAATGCAGCGGACTTGTATTAGACACAGGCTTCGACCTGGATTTTGGATCGGGTTCGATTTAACCAAAAAGATGATAAAAATGCAATGTACACAGGCTTYGATCTCGATCTTGGATTGAGTTCGATTTAACCAACAAGATAAATTAAATGCAGTGGACCTATGTTAGACACATTCTTCGACTTCGATTTGGGATAGGGTTYGATTAAACCAAAAAGATGATAAATGCAAAGGACATGTGTTATACACACACTTCGGCCTCGATCTTGGATCAGGTTTGATTTAATCCAAAAAAGATGATAAAAATGTAATGAACCTRTGCTATACATAGGCTTCAACCTCGATCTTAGATAAAATTTGATTTAACCAACAAGATAAATTAAATGCAGTAGATCTGTGCTAGTYACAAGATTTAACCTCGATCTTGGATCGAGTTTGATTTAACCCAAAAAGATATAAATGCATTGGACTTGCGCTTTACACATGCTTTGACTTCAATTTTGGATTAGGTTCGATTTAACCAATAAAAGATGAGAATGCACTAGGCCTGCACTTCACACAGGTTTCAAATTCGATCTTGGATCAGGTTCGATTTAACCAAAAAGATAAATAAAATGCAGCGGACCTGCATTAGACACAAGCTTCGACCTCGATCTTGATCGGGTTTGATTTAACCAAGAAAGAATGAAATGCAATAGACCTTTGTTTTATACAGGCTTCGACCTCGATCTTGGATCTAGTTTGATTTTATCAAAAAAGATGGTTTCAATTTTTCTAAAAAGTTGAAGTGATTTGATTTGTTAGGAAGTTCTTCACCTAAGTGCAGGATTTAGAAATCCTCCTTAAAAAGATGTCCAAGTGAATGAGATGTGCACTTGAAGCATGATGAAAAAACCAACACAAACCCAAGTGTTCATGAAAGTGTAGACTTCCACACATTGTATGCATTACTTGTCGTGTGAATGACATTTACAAGAATGATGGGTGTATTTGCAAATATGCATTGTCCCAATATCTTGAATGACAAGCGATAAGCAAAAATACTTTTTTAAGTTTGAAATGTAATAATGCATTTGAAAACGTATGAACATATGCTCTCTTTTTGCTTTTATTTATTCAATGTATTTAGCTTACATACATGATACATATACATGTGAAAGCTAGATGAATGCAACAGATATTCATGATATTCGTAGTTGCTTTGGCACAACCAATGAATGTCTCTGGATGCACATTCATGTGCATGATAAAGCTAGATGGATGCAAAATGTATGCATAATATTCATATTTTTATAATTTAACCATGGTATGAAACTGATATATATATATATATATATATATATATAATGCAAGTGATGTGAATGCATGATTTGTGAAATATGGTTGAGAGAACAAAAATATTGTCTACTTTTGAAATATTGTCTACTATTGTTCTTCTTATTAGAAAATATTTAGCATTGAATCAAACGAAAAAAGTAGTATCAACATTGGAGGAAATACGTCTACTTTTTTTCTTTTTTTTTTTTTGTGAATGTCTTTACTTGATAGAAGATATTGCATCATATTGATTTCTCAACGATATCAGATATGGTGGGAGATTTTTGTTTTTTTAGATGGATCTCATGTGCTAGTTAAAAGAACTATGAAAGATAATCCATTAGCATTGTGCATCTTGCTTGTTTAACCTGCTTCATAACCTCAGTCTCGTAATTGACAAGAATGTTGGATACAAGAAAATGAATTGGGGCTTAGGAACAAACAATGATAGAAATCATGATTTTTCAACAAAGCTTAACAATGACGAAAAATCGACGCGCTTTGTTGAACGAAATTGTGTTTCTTATGTGCAAGTGTACAGTATCRTTGTAGCAAGTAATAAAATGCTCGAATCTACAGAGAATGTTCACTACACAYTTTAACAATACCTCAAGAAAGCTAAACTATAAATGCAAACAAATTTTGGCCAACGCAAGTGAAAAGAGTTTTATATAAACAAAAAACTATGCTGCACAATGACTATTGTAAATCCACACCAAGATCGGCWCCAATAGCCCTTAACAAAATGGTAATCGRTGAATATGGTTAACTAACTTCTTTTTAACAGGGTAAGGGGGAAGGTTGAATGTGAATTTTTCTTGGTTGCTCAAACAGTGTTGTAGCATTAACAATGTGAGTACAGGCCAAGCCAAACAGACATAGAGCATTTCCAGGTTTCCTAGATTTTCTGCTGTTAGGATTTATCGACAAACTTACACAGCATTTAAAAGCAATTTATAGYCATGCTATGTGAGCCCTATTCCTAAGCACCCACTCTCTAACACAAGCAGAATCTAGCACAAGTTGAAGTCCATCAACTTTTTAACTTCGAAAAAAGAAAAATTGATTTGTAACTATTTGCAAGGATATGAGGGAAGGTGAATGCAAAAACAATGGCATTGAATGGATAAATATTTTGAAGGTTCAATCACCAAAATAAGAGTTAAACCAATCAAGTAAAAATATTGAAACAAGAATATGAAAATGCTAAATCATCCTTAGGATACATTATGTACAAAATAGATAAATCCAAAAGTCCAAACACCACAAAAAAAAAAATGAAGGTCCACAAAATGGCCAGTCTCAATGGAATTCTAGTCATAATCTAAACTGAAAAAGAAAGAGAAAAAAAAAAGAAAAAAAACCTCAGAAACTTAATAATGCCAAGAAATTCTATTTAAAAGATAATTAACATAAAAGAAATCCATAAATAAAAACTGCCTTCACCTGCTGGGGAAGGCCATCATAAGATTTAAACTCTTGAATGCCCCAAAATTTGCCCCCTAAACAAAGATGTGATAAAACCAGCAAACAAAAGCTTCTTCATGTTTTGCCCCATCATTTTTTACCCAGAAAAGTTCAGTTGATCCTCATAGCATGCAGTCCGTTCTTGCCGGCAACCTCCGGAAGAAGTTCAGAGGCACGGATGGGAGCTTGTACCGAAACCTCGGGTGTCTCAGCACGTAGATCCCGGAGAGAAGCGCCACAACTTGGAACGGCGTAACATACAGAACAATGGCAGAAACCAGGCAGAAGATCACAAACAATGCTGAAGCTCTCGGGTCGCGCCAACTGAGTAGAGACTGCAGCCTCTCGCCCTGCGTCGCGAGGTCCCCGACTACAGTCTGGATCCTCCCGGCAATGCTCCTCAGCCGATCGTACCTCATCCTCACGATGTCAGCGGGTCGGGAAGTGGGAAACGTGTCGAACTCCTCGTCGAGCTCGTCGGGGTGAGCGGAGTCGGCGTGGGAGAGGCGGGTGTCCATGTGAGGAGGGTGCCTTGGCCTCCATCTATAATGCCAAACTCCAATTAGGAACAGGTAGAGGAAAATTGTGGGAAGAATGAGCTCAGGGTACATGACAAGGATGATGAACAAGATGTGAATTAGAACAGTTGTAATTGGGTTTCTCCAATTGCAAATCTGATCAAACCATTTCCCAACTGCAATCAAGCCACTGAAAACTCCCATGATTCTGAAGAAATTCGCCTTGCTTCTCCTCATACTCCACATGTGGGAGCCTACGTCGAGCATATACTCGACGACCTCTTTTCGCAGCGGGGGCTCGGCACGGTTCAGCCTCATCGAGACGATCTGAGTCGCCTGGTGCCGTAGGCTATCGAGTTGGCTAACAGTCAATGGGTGAAGATAGTGCATTTTGGGGAGGAGGGGATGTGAGTACATGTGCAGCATGTTTAGCAAAGAAGAGCAAGTAAATCTCACAGCCAAATGAATCTCACCCATCTTCTTCACCCCACTTGAGTGCAGAACCAGCAGAGGATATGAATGTGTGTAAACTCGATCGGTTTCGAGCGTAGAAAGGCGAATTCTTACCTTCCCTATCCGTGCATCTTTCGCTGCTCCAGCCTTATCCCCGCCGTGCAGATGGCAGTTGTCGAAAACCCCAATTGTGATGACAGTGCAGGGGTCAAAAACCTCCCAAGTGTACTGCTCATTCCACTTGGGCATGAAACTGTCGATGATCGTCCTCGTTCGAACCCACTTCTGCCCGTATTTCGCCACACAGTACGCATCRGTCGTTCCTCGCCCATCTTTCGTCTTCATTGGCATTAGCCCCTGAGCATTCAGAATCCCCAATTCTAACACCCCAATGTGGTTCTTCCACAGTTGTTTTGCGGTCGGTCGGAGATCGCTACTGTAATGTGTCGATTCATCCAAAACATGGTAGCCACCTTCCAAACAAATCCTCATGTGAATCCTACTAGAGAACTTGATTTCCTTCTTCTTCTCCCCTTCAACAACAACAACGTGTTTCTCAAGATTGAACCACTTTGTGTTCACAGGTCTATGGTCCAATCTCCTATCGACATACTGCAGCGGGATTGCACACCGTCCCAAAACCTCATCCTTGTTCGGTGCAACTCGGTCTTCCACACTTAGTATCAAAGGCTCTTCAAATGGTTCGGCCGCAACAAACATCAAATCCTCATTCCACATTGGATTGATAGTTCTAGACTGCGAAATTCTAGTTCTCAAAGCCTGATTTCCAAGTATAGCCTTCACAAAAACCTCYGGATACCGACCCTTATCACTCGGCTGCAGATCCTGAGCTTCAATGATATTCACCCTCAAGTACCAAAGCTTAGCGGAAAGATACACCTTCGACCGAATATTCGCGATCCCATCAGCTCCGCTCACGGTTGCAGCATCCGAATTCCAAGCCTCGGAAAATGCTTCATCTGCCTGCGTTCCCATCCAAACAGCCAACATCAGCTCTCCTTTCACCTTGTCCCCCTTCCTATCATCCAACCGATACCATTGCGGCGCCAGGGGACTATCGGGCGGTACCCTTCTCGGGACCTCATTCATGTCGAAAAGAACCCTCCCCATGAAGTCATCCTTCACAAAATCCTTATCCTTCACAATCACCTCAAGAACCGAAGCCTGAATCCGATCCTTCGAAAAGGCAAACACCTGATTCCATTCGGGATTCGACTTCTTCTCGAAATGGCGAGTGGTACCTTTGTAGTTTCCAAGCTTAACCTCGACGTAGGGGTCGCAGCTCCCGGTGACATCTTTCCCGGGCAAGTCTTTCGCCTTGACGACCCGAACGTAGAGGTAATACATTTGCTCAACGAGGTCATAGGTGCTGGCTAGTTTGTCGCCAGTGACCTTCCCCCCGCCCAGATGGGGATTGGTCTCTTTCAGTAAGAAATCCTCTGGTGGAGGCTTCTGCATCATCTTCACACTTTTTGAATGCAATTTTTCTCAAACAGACCTAAAAAATAAAACCCAAAACAAAGCTCAAAATTCAAAATTTCCCTCTTGAAGAGCCGAAACATCGGATAACAGAGTCAGAGTCAAGCGGTTGCCGGAAAAATCGGAAGAAAAAATTCAAAAAAATCTCTCCATTGTAATACSGCTTGCAGAACCCAAAACGACGTCGTACGAACAGTTCTCGACTAGAAAATAGAAAACTTAAAATAAAAAATAAAAACATAGAAAAAAAAAGAGTTCAAGGGTGCGTGAGTTCACCTGAAAGCAAAAATGAGGGAGGAGAAGAAAAAAATTCCGGCAAGTCTTGAAAGCTTCAGATCTGGAAAGTTCTCAGGCGCTGCAGAGAAATGGGAAAAGAAGAAAGAAATGCAGAAGAAGTGAGTTTGATGAAGAGCCGTAGATCCAAAGAAACAAAAAAGTAATCCGCCACATTGTTTGCTGTTTGGTTGCCGAGAAAATGCCAGATTTTCCCTCATTTTCCAGGGAACCAAACAGAAAAATAGAAAAGTTAAAGGTACCGACCGGCAGCAGTGGTGATCTTCCATGGCATTGCTGAAAAGAGGAAGAAAAAGGAAACCCCATGAGAGAGGAAAATGGAGAGATGGGCCTTCGGTTTTAGAGAGAGAGAGAAGTGGGTTTTTTTGGTTTCCGATGAGAAGTATATACGAAGTGAACTTTATTGGATTTTCCATTTTTNGTGTTGGTTTAAAGGAATTGGGATGACTTAGATTGTCAGTCGTCCCCACAGACGGCGCCAAATGTTTATGCAAAGATGTGCACAACAGTGTGTTCCTGGTTGTAGCTCGAACCCGGCCTCCGGACCGACCTGAACACTTGGGCGGACATGCACAAAAAGGTGAGCACTCCGACGATCAAGTCAGTATAGGTCGGATTCCAAGTCTAGTTCGAAGCCAGAAATCATCGTACCTGATCGGGGAGTGAGGTCCCCTACTTATGGGTGATGGTCCCGCTAATCTAGCGACTGTTACATTTGGTAATCTCGGGACCGTCGGTTACATCCGGTAATCTCGGGACCGACGGTTACGCCCGATAATCACGCCGCAGACAGTTGCGCATCTCGGCCCATACCGAGCTCCCCGGTGGGTCGGACCTGGGCCAGGCTCACCTCGGCCCTCACACTTGGCATTTGTCGGCGTTGGTGGCGGCCGTCTCGGCCTTCCGAGCTGGACATGATTCATGAGTCATCTTGGAGCACCACTAGGGGTCTTCCACGTGTCCAGAGTATTCCCTTCCCCAAACAAATTGAGTGGTGGTTTATTCCTTCTTAATAACTATTAAAATTGTTAAGAGACATTATATTTTATTATCAATCGGCTTTTATATCCGTCCATCAGTTTTTAATAATTCTAATAATATTATTATAGGGCATGCCTTCATGCCATGAAAAAATAAAATAAATAAAGAAAGGGAACGTAACCAATAATTCTTCCTATTTATAGGCCAATCATTCATTATAATAATTAATTGAGCCAATTTTATCTTTTTTATACTTTAATTATAAGAAAATCCACCGGTGATATCTTAATTGTCAAAAGTCCAATGATTTAATATTTTCCTCCCACATTTAGATCTCTATGTTCAATTATATCTTTATTTCAAAATAAAACCCTCAAATCTTCAGAATCCAAATGTGATGAAACGTGTATCAAATAAATTATTTAAGAAAAAACTCAAATAAATTTTTTAAGTAAATAAATTGTAAAAAATATTATATGACAACAAAATAATAGGTCAAGCAAGCACCACTAAGGTCTTGTTGGATAACTAGCTATTTCTTTTTAGTTTTTAGATTTTTATTTTCAAATTATACTTGTTTGGTTTACAATTTTTTTTTGTTTTTCTTTCACATTTCTTAAAATCACTTAATTTTTAATCGAATTTAAAAAAAAAAGAAAACAAGTTTTTTAAAATTATATTTTTTAGTTTTCAAAATTTACTTTATTTTTTGAAAATATTTCTAGAATACATGTAGCAAAACGAATAAAATATCCGAGTGAAAGTAGTATTTATAAAGTTCATTTTTTGTATTAAAAACCATAACAATTCACATTAATAACTTGTTAGAAAGTTTTTTAATTCTTCCTCCCACATTTATAATACTATATTTCCAAGGAGAAGAAAAATAATAAAATAATGGAAATGATGACTTCATGTTCTGAGTTCAAATGAACTTTAGCTAAACATGTAAAACAGTCTCCAATCTTTTAAATAATTGGGTTGTTAATCTTTTAAAGCTCTAAACTTTATTTTTTATGTATTAAAATTTTCGATTAAGCCATTTTGTAAAAATATTGTTAACTGAAAGTTGATATATTCTTAAATTAATGTTATATTAAAATATTTGGACATGTGTACATTTTGTCGGATGAATTTGACATAAGAAACCTAACTCTCCCTTAAATAAAATTCAACTCCACCATCAACAAAATTCATTTCTTCCGAATACCACGTCTAAGTGGCATACCCACGTGTAAAATTATGTCAATAAATCAATAATTTAACAATACATCAACTTTTTTGTAACCAAATTTTTTGTAACCAAATTTCCTTTTTATGACATGATTTATAGAGAATTCTTAATACATTTGAGACAAAATTAAAAATTTGGTTTGAGAATTAAAAATTTATGCATTCCAGTGGTTGCATGCCCAAACACTCAAAAGAATTCGACAGAGTACATTAATATACACATAATATTAATAACAATAATTTTAGATTTATTTTAAAAAATAAAATATATTTCATCGACATTTCCATAAATTTGAAACTTTGAGATTTTCACGATGTTGAATCAAGAAATTGATCAACTCCGCGAACGTCGGTTCGGTTAGGATGAGCTAGACAGTGAGCTCCAAATAGTATGCAGAAGACCTGCAAAACAGAGTGAGCACTCCGATGCCACTAGAGAGAATMGAAATGTTCACGTACCTCCAAATGAACAGAATGATTCTATTTATAGACAGGACCCCGACAGTGTTCTCAACAATACCTCAATGACTCTTTAAGATTACCGTGAAATGAGACATATTGTCGTGGAGTTTGTTGGAGATGGGGCCGAGCTTAGATAAGCTTAATCGGCTAGACCAAAGATGTGGGAACGCAATTGTGAACAGACTTGTTCGACTCGGCTACCGATCGAGTTCGACTCGATTAAACGGATGAGYCGAGACGAATATACTTGGATTAATCCTTTGCACGATTTATGAATCATGTGTCATCTTCCACATCCACTCGTCTTCTACCACGTGTATGCTGAAATCTACCTCCAACACACGATATCCAGATTTMAAACAATCTTTTATCTCTCTTCCTTTATTTTCAAGAGTAGATAGCATCCAAGAGTAAAGAATGCATAGGCTGAAAATGAATGGAAGGTCGGTCCTTTTCACTCTAAAAAGATACTAAAGGTCGCTTCGCTTTTTAGGAATTGACAGCAGAGAATTTGGTAGGTGTGTTGGAAAAATAAAAAATACAAATTTAAATCGTACGTTTTTTTCCCTTCTTCTTTTTGTAATAATTGCAAATTGAAGTGCTCTTATTATTTATTATATTATTTGGGTCCTTTTATATTTATTTTATTGGCTATATATACTATATGGTTCTTCGTTTTTTTAAAGATAATTATTAATTGATATTTAATAATTAAAAATTTTATCTTTAATAATTAAGAAAAATGAATAAGGTACTCTACAAAAAATAATAATAAATAAACTCTGTTCAACATAACTTGATTCAAATATTATTTGAATTGCAGAASAATGAGATCTTATAATGTCATTTATTTTATTTTTATTCCAACTAATTRAAAAGTATTCCACRTCACTTGAAATTAGGTTCTAATTATTGATCAAAAGTTCGATTCATCATCGTTCAATTAATGTTTTATCATATTGGAATACGTTAACTCTAATGTTATTTAAYGCATAAAATTCAAAGTGTTCATCGGAAAAATCTTATCCATCCTTTAATAAGGTCTATTTCTTCTRAGTAGCATGTCCAAGTGACATATTCACGCATCCAATTAKGTTAATAAAACAATAATTTCATTTTCAAGACTTGATTGAGAATTTTCAATAATGTAAAATTAAGAATTTTCAAAAGATTAAAGATTAAAGACTAAATTGAGAATTAAATAAATGATTAAAAATGATTTGGTATATTTTRCCTATATTCTTCTTTCTTTATAAGAAATGTCATGATTTGATTTTAATATTTTTTTATTTTTTATTTTTTAAGTARTGTGGRGTGAGAATTCGAACCATTAACCTCGTAATTGAATATATATGTCTTATCGCATTRGAATATGCTCTTGTTGACCTCATGATTTATACTCTATTGTATTAACATTTTGGCTTGGAAGTATTAGATGTGACATATATATATATATATATATATATTAACATTTTGGCTTGGAAGTATTAGATGTGACATATATATATATATATATATATATATATATATATATATATTATATCTTGAGAGATATTAAGTGATCAGACAAGTATTATGTTTCAAATATGAACCATATTATATCTAAAAAAACATATATTTATATGAACCAAATTATTGCCTACACTAACAAGAATAAAGGGAAAATGAAGCAGTAATAGCAAAATAACAATAATGATATTATTTTGTTCTATATACTTTCATCATTTGTTCATTTTAGTTTATATATTTTTAAAATAAAATTTTAATCCCTATGCTTTCAAAACATCTATTTTAGTTTTTATATTTTTGAAAAATGATTATTTTAATATTTATTTAACAAAATTTTAATATATACAATAGAAACTCTTTAATATAAATTTATGGGTGAGTGAAGCGTTGTGCTAAAATTTTAATCAAAATGAATGAACCAAAATTGTACGAGAAACAAAATGAACATTGTAAAAGTATATGGACTAAAATGACAAAAATTGAAAATATATAGACYAAAATAAATTTTAAGAAATATAGAGATCAAAATTAACCAAAGTAAAAATTACATAGACCACAAAATTATTTAAACATTTTTTTAACTAATTGATATGTAATGACTTAAAAATGAAATTTATTTGTAACTAATTTGCAAGGACATAAGGAGGAAGGTGAATGCTACAACATTCGCATTGAATGGATAAATATTTACCCACCTAAGCATAGTTTATGTCTGACTAAAAGGTCGTGGATAAATATTTACCCACCTAAGCATAGTTTATGTCTGACTAAAAGGTCGTGGGCATAAAAGGTCGTGATTCCCGTGATTCGAGTTCCTACTYCCACACATAGAATGGATAAATAATTTGGAAGTTCAGAAACTAAAAATAAGAATTAAACATATCAAAGTAAAAATGAGTTAAAACTATCAAAGTGAACATAGATGAAATAACAATATGAAATTGCTAAATCATCCTTAGGCAATTTATAGTTAATTTTTTTTCCCATTATGTACAAAATAGATTAAATGCAAAAGTCCAAACACCACAAAAAAATTGAAGGTSCACAAAATGGSCAGTCTCAATAGAATTCTAGTCATAATCTAAACTGAAAAAAGAAAGAGAAAAGAGAATCTCAGAAACTTAATGCCAAGAAATTATATTTGAAAGATAATTAACATAACATAAATCCATAAATAAAAACTGCTTTCACCTTCTGGGGAAGG